TGTCATGGGAAACTAGGGCCCCTAAATTTAATAAGTTTAGAATGCATTGAAAATGGATTTCTTAAATATGTCCTGCAAAATGTTTATCATCATTAAGTGATGAAACAACGCTGAGTTTTAATTCCCTTATAAGAAAATAGTTCACATCTACAAATTGTTCTATTATTGGGCTGGACAAAGTTTTTGTTCAGTAAGCACAGCACATTTTTGTTTTCTTTCCTTTTTTAGTAACCTTTCCTTGGTAAATGAATTCATTTTTTTGGCAATGAGTTGCTCACTTAAAAATGAATTTATTGCACCTCCAACCAATTTATAAAGAGGTAATATTTATGTCAGAGCAAGAAGTGAAAGGAAAACTAATAACGAGAATGTTAAAATGAGCAAGAAAAGTTAAAGCTTAGCATTATAGTTGTAATGTAGAATCACAGCTTGGTTCTCCGAACCTGTACCATGCCACTAACATTGTTCATTTTTGTTTTCAAATCACTCTAAGACTTCAACCTTCCCCATTTCTGTGAGCTCCTTTTACCCTACAATCTTACACATTATCTGTGTTCCTCAAATTCTGGCTTCTTGCACATCCCAGATTGTCATCACTTCACAATTCATAGCCATGCCTCCAGCTGCCTAGGTCCTGTGTTCTGGAGTTCAGACATTTTTTAACTGCTGTCTTCTCGGCAATGTAAAGCAAGCAGCCATACAACTTCTAAAGACACACCTCAGTAATGTAAGTATAGGACTAGATGTATAGGATGTGACTAGGAGCAGCTTGTGAAGCTGCTGGTTTAATAAAGTATGAAGCCTCAATTACACAAAGTGTTAAAAATGAAATCAGAATATCACCTTACGTAATAAAAGTCTGCATAATCTGTTGAGGCCAAAAGAAAGCAATACTAGTGGCTTTGGATGTAGCAAGTCACTGAAGGAGGCAGAAACTGGCTAACTATCTCCTGGTTTTAAATCAATAGCTGCCCAGGTCCAACTGCGCACTAGTCTGTGGGGACTTGCTCTGTGCCCAAGGATAATACAGTCAGTAAAGCACTGTTGTAATAGGCCTAAGACAAAGACACTGAGGCTATTTATGTGGCTGTTAAAGCATATCATGTGCTGATCAAGAACAATAGCTGATTATAAGTGAAAGGAGACATTAAGAATGTGTTAGGTGGCCCAGGAATATTTTTGAGTCTGCAAGTCCTGCATCTGGCTCATAGCAGTTCATATTTTTAACTTCAAAACATGAAAAGCATTTTTATTTCAAAACATACTCATGTGAAAAATGCTTTTGTTCATCTTTTGGAGCCTCCCTCAGCAAACTGTTAAGCCATTGTACTTCCCTTGTGATTTGCTTATTTCTGTTTCCTTATCAACCTTTACATACACAAATCACTTCAGAATAAATACCCCCAGTAAAGCAGCTGGATGTCGGAGGGACAAACTACGGAGTTACAGTCAAAACTGCACAGGCACTGTACGATGACAATGGTTAACGGAAATGCTGACTTCCATTAATTAGGTCATGTTTTATGGGTAGAATTTGAAGTAGCATAATTATAATCTGGTTGGTACAATTAGAAAGCCATTCAAATATAAATAAAAAAAAAACACAGCAAGCCACAGTATATTATAGTACTACAGGGAGGAAAAATCATGACTATACTTTACACTTCATAAATACTATAGGCATAAATTTTATGCTGTATAATGACAATATGCACTTTAAATATACATAAAATACTTCTTTGCTTAAATATTTGCTTCACTACTTATCCTTCCTCCTTACTCTTTTTCCACATTATTTCCTCTACCTTCTGAAAGGCTGCTGATCCATTTTGAGGTATTGTTCCATAGGAACCAAAGATCTTCTGTCAAATGGTCATTCCCCCTCACTGAACCCTGACTGTAGCGGTTATCATGCTATTCCAGCAAAGAAACCAATGCAGTAGGAGTCATTAGCAAATACTGAGGGCAAAAGGACCCTGCAAATTCGCAGAGCCATGAGGCCAGTTACATCCCGAAAACTACCTTCATTAACACACATGTGGAATGTCTCCACCTATTGTGAAAATAATGCCCCCTCAATCACCCTCCCCCGACTACTTTTCTGCACATTACTGATGAGCCTATCAGCAGAAAATGTGGGAGAGCAATGGCTTGTAATTGGAGAAGCGCACGGTGGCTAGTGGTTAGCACTGCTGCCTCACAGCGCCAGCAACCCGGGTTTGATTCCAGCCTCGGGGGACTGTCCGTGTGGAGTTTGCACATTCTCCCCGTGTCTGCGTGAGTTTCCTCTGGGTGCTCCAGTTTCCTCCCACAGTCCAAAATTGTGCAGGTTAGGTAAATTGGCTATGCTATTGCCCATAGTGTTCAGGGAGGTGTAGATTAGGTGGGTTATAGGGGGATGGATCTGGGTGGGATGCTCTGAGGTTCAATGTGGACTTGTTGGGCTGAAAGGCCTGTTTCCACACTGTAGGGATTCTATGATTCTAAGCAATGTGTGCAGACTCCTCACTTCCGCTTGTCCATGTTTTGAAGGGTGAGTCAATGGGCCCCACACAGAGGCATAGCAGACCACATTCTACACTGATGTTGGGCGAGCCATTTGTACAGGGTAGGCTGTTTTGTTTTAAAAAGCAAAACTGATGTAGTAGAAGTTGATACATTCCTAACACAATGAGTTTATCTGTTCATCTTGGGCAAGAAGTCACTGCATTCTGTTCTTCTGTAGCTCTCAGCAGCTGTACCTGAATGCTGAGGGAACTTCTATTGTGTTAGAAGTGCTATGTGTTGATTGATGTTGTTGAGCCAGTCTGAGCCTGAAGTAGACAAACAGGAGACTGGAAGTACACAGCAAGCCAGGCAGCATCAGGAGGAAAGGAGCAGTCAACGTTTTGAGTATTACCCTTCTTCAGGACTGGTCTGAAGTCTGAAGTAACTCATTGTTCAAATCCCACCTCCAAGTCAAGGAAAGAAGGAGAGATGGGAGCTAAATAAAGAAAAAGTCAAGGTAGTAGCAACAAAGGTACAATATGAGGAAAAAGGATTCAACTTCTCATTGAGCTATTTATGTGTGTGCTTGGGATGTTATGAGTATTTTTGCTTCTTTCCTACCCCCTTCAAACACAAGTCCACATCGCTATGAAAATGAAACATCCTGTCACTGTTTACATCTTTTGATTCACATTAGCACCACTGGTTGAGCTACTTAAAGCTATGCCAGGCCATGGAGGTTTATTTTGCTTTTGTTGTTGGAAGGACTCCATCTGAGAGAGTAAGCAATGTCAACTATGATGAAACAAATCTGAACAGTAACTGCAACTCAATGGAGCTGCACAATTTCCAAGTAGCTACAAATGCAATGAGCAAGGTTTTTCTGAATCACTAAGGACAGCAGTCATATAAAGAGCAGAGTTGTTTTATTTGACACAGGGTAAGAAATAGAGTGACGGTTTTCTATATAGGGTATTCCTGTAAATACGATGGAAGCTCTGTACAGGTACATACCACAGTTTTGGGGAGGCACCTCAAATATTGAATAAAAACTGAACGAACTGTGAATGCTCTAAATAAGAAACAAAAACAGAAATTGCTGGAAAAGCTCAGCAGGTCTGGTAGCATCAATGGAGAGAAATCAGAATTTAATGTTTCGTGTTCGAGTGACCCTTCCTCAGAACCTCAAATGTTGAGACGCAGCTGGAAACCATTTATTCCAATTTCCTGGGGTCATGGCTGGCGAGATGAGTTCAAGAAAGTGTATTTGATTTCTTTCTTCATGGTTATTCACTTTACTGAGTGGTTAGAATGTTAAACTTGCCGCTGCATTGAGGTAAATGGCATGGAAGCATTCAAGTAGAATCTAGATAAGTAGATGAGGGTATAATGAATGAAAGCATATGTTAATAGGTTGAGGTGAGACCAGACTTATGTGAACCCTAATAAAGATCTGCTCAACCAAATGCCTGTTTCTCTGCTGTCAATTCTAAGTGATATAACAACGGCACACAAATGGAAACATCATTTTCAACATTTGAAAGACAAAACCATCAACTCAAAAGAAGACATCACTATCATTGTAGGAACATTTTTGTCATTAGTGTTTCCATAGCAATAGAAATAATATACTAGTACATTAACAAGTACAGAAACCTGAAACCCCTGAGATTCCCTCAGTGTTCAGATAATGCCCTGTGCTACCTATACCTAACCTGGCAGGCTGTGTTTCATTTAGGAATATGGCTTGTATTTACCGATGTGGTTCACATTCAGGACGATAGCTTAGATGGTGCGCAAAAAATGTCAAAAGAGATACAGTGGAACCTTGAATGTGCGGAGTGAAAGGAAAAATCGTAAGCCTTAGGATAAGAAACATACAGGACTGTTGAAGAGGACAATTTTGAGAGTTTTTTTTCCAAAGACAGCACAGTACGAAGAGAGAGGCAAGGAATTCCAGAGGGCAGCAGCAAAGAGGTTGGGCATGTGTAATCAGCATTGCTAGAGTAGGGGAATATTAGTTATTGCAAAGAGAAAGCATACTCTATTCATGAGCACTGCCATCTCTCACCTTGAAAACAGAAAATCATTAATGGAAATAAAGCAACAAATTCATGGTAGTTGAGATAAGGGATGTGAGACAAACCTCAGAATACAAATAATGCTGTCAGCATGCAAAACTATGAGCATGTCATGTGACCCATAGAATAACTATTTCCTTGTAAGTCATGAGCCAACTGAGCAAATGAATGCCTTGTAGTTAACTATGTTACTTGTAAGCTTCCTCATGATGTGTAGGGTTTAAAACTGAATGTAATCTCTCTACAAATGCTACCAATGAGGACAAGTTGTCTCTCAGAAACAGCCTGGTAGGTATCAATTGATTTAAATAGAAATGAATTGTGTTTCATTGTGATGTTAACTACATGAATGAGCCACTGACACTTCTTTGGTAACTTGTAGGTGAGTAAAGAATGCTAATACTCATAAGATTTGTTCTTTCCCTGTCTCAGCAACTGTATGCAGCGCAGCTTGCCAGTATGCAGGTATCACCGGGTGCTAAGATCCCTTCTACTCAACAGCCAACAAACCCTGCTGGTGCTCTATCACCCACAGCTTTGAAAAATGAAAAGCAGGGGACCAGCCCTGTAGCTCAAGTGAAGGTAAGTTTGTATGTCTATACTTTTACAGAGTGTCTCTCTTACAACTGAAACACTGCTTTCTTAATTGGTGTTAATTCACTGTTAGAAAGTCAATGAACATTAATTAATAGCACAGAGTAACATGTGTCATTTTTTAGCTGCTAAGATGACATTATGCTTTACCTGATCTATCCTGTTACACTGCTCAGTTATTCCCCTTGAGAAAGTGGTCGTATCCTGAGCTCAATGAGTCTAAATGTAAAAGCACTTCTTGGTGATTAGACACTGCTTTTAAATTAGAGGCTTATTCTCTAGAAAATATTTGAAATGTAATGACAATCCATGCACAGTTCATTGGCAGAAAGCAGGGATATCTGTATTTTATACAGAAACTGTATTAGTTGCACCTATTGTTAAAGCAGTGGAATACCTCAATGTTCATTAGGAATTCTTGGTCACCATTTCTGCCATGGTGAGTTCATCACTTCTCAGTTGAACCTCTAGATGGAGTGCAGTGCAGTGTTGAAGTAAACAAAAAAGCACAGCAAAAAGCAGCATACAAATGCCTCTTCGTTCTCTATATAACAACAATGATTGTGCTTCAAACTAATTTGTTGATCTGAAGCACTTTGAGATGTCCTGCAGACATATAGGTAAGTTCTTTAATTGTGCAGCAACATTGACAACAGCCACTGAAAACCCAGGATAATTCCCACCTCAATAATATTTGTATGATTCATATGAATAGGAAAGGAAATTATTTGAAATAAACTGAAAATGATTTTGTCCTTTAATATGAAAAATGTTATTGTGAAAAGCTATGTGATTGGTCAACAAGTGTGTGTTAAATTGATAAGAGTGGCTTCATGCTTTTTGCAATGAAATTATAAAAGCTCAGACATTTAATAAATGCTTAAACAGAATTTAAACACCAGTCTCCAAATGCAAGTACAGCACTGAAAATAACTTAAGTAGAAAAGGACAATGTTACTAAGTTGCTCAGAATTGAAGCATTAAAGCAAAATGTCATGGTAAATATTTCTGGTGCTAGTTGAAGGTTCTTAGAGAATCTATCCCCTCACAAGTTACGAAAGAGACTGAGAGGCAAACCAGTACTGATGATATCAGAATGGACATGAATATAAACTGAATAAGACATTTGAGCTTCTAATTGACTACATTTGGGCCTGATGGGCGGTAAAGATCCAACTGAATTTGATGCGTATCTACTTAATCCTCAATGGAAATAAACCTATAGCAGAAAATTGATTTTGATTTCAACAATGCAAATATAAACTGAGAGAGCTGGTAAAGTGGCTAAAGATAAGGTGCAAGGTGAATAAAGTCAGCATGAAAGTGTTGTTCCATGATTTCTTGAGCACAATGCAAAATAAGTAGTATTTAAATAATGCCCCAAAAGCCTTTGGCATATTGAGATTTATGAAGCAATTATAATAAAAAGCATTCCACAAGGTGAGCAATTATCTTTGGTAGACTTTTCTTAACATTTTTATATCAAATAATTTCGAAGAATACTAATATCATGTTTAGTCAGAAAATGTGAATGAAAAGGCAAACTTGGGTCCTTCAAGTTAGCCATAAACATGTATCTCCAGATAATATACTTCATTGATGTGAAGATATGTCTTGCAGAGGTTACCATGGCAGGGTTGTGTGGTGTTGTGGTCAATGTTATTGTAAAGGCTGGGTAGTTTGCAGAAAACGATGGTTTATTTAAGGTTTGGCAGTTGTTCAAAGGCGAGAAGTGGAGCCTTTAAACAACCGCCAAACTTTAATCAGACCATGGTTTCCAGCAAACTACTCAGCCTTCATGATAACATCTGCAAGACATGTGAAATCATTGACATGGACACTACCATCACATGTGGGAATACCATCCACCTCGTACACAGCAGATACTCAAATGACTCAGCCAATGTTGTCTATCTCATTCGCTGCGGCTAAGGATGCTCCGAGGCATGGTATATTGGCAAGATCATGCAGACATTACGACAACAGATGAATGAACACCACGCAACAATCACCAGACATGAACATTCCCTTCCAGTCAGTGAACACTTCAGCGATTAAGGACATTCAGTCTCCGATCTTTGGGTAAGCGTCATCCAAGGCGGCCTTTAAGATGCACAGCAACGCAGAATCGCCGAGCAGGGACTGATAGTCAAGTTCTGTACCCACGAAGACAGCCTCTACTGTGATCTTGGGTTCATATCACGCTACATGTGACCCCACCACACTGTTCTGTATCTGTAAAACCTTCCTTACTGTCCTATTTTGACATCGTCACCTCGATAAATTGGTATGATCTCTCTACCTTAATTAGTTTGCACAGTTTTGGATTACTTATTACTTCGGTTAGACCCTTAGAATGTGACTCTTATACCTATCATGTTATTCCAGTGATTTAGTTTGTCTTCAGCACCACCTTATTTTTAATTTTTTGTAATTATCTCTCCACCTCATTTAATCAGATTCTAGGTCATCCCTTCACTTGCTATTCAGCTGTTTACATTTCACTCACACTATCTGACACTTCTGATCACCTGCAGAGACTTATTATTCGACACTCTCTACTCTCACCATTTGTATGATTTTTTGATCTGTCTGCCTGTAAATTCTGTGTGCTTCTCTGTCACTTCACTTAGTGAAGGGGCTATGCTCCTAAAGCTTGTGATTTCAAATAAACCTGTTGGACTTATAACCTGGCATCATGTGACTTCTGACTTTGTCCACCCCAGTCCAACACTGGCGCCTCCACATCTTGTCCTGGATAGTGTTGAGTTTCCAGAAAGTTGTTAGAACTGCATTCATCCAGGCAAATGAAAAGTTTTCCATCCCACTCCTAACTTGCCTTGTGGATGGTGGGTGGACAGGCTTTGAGTCATCAAGAGATGAGTTGTTCACTGCAGGATTCCCAGTCTCTGACCTGCTCTTGTAGCCACAGAATTTACATGGCTTGTCCAGTTTAGTTTCTGGTCAACTGTATCTTCCAGGATGTTGGTAGTGGGTTATTCAATGATAGTATGACATTTTTGATGTCTTTTTTTTTGGAGATGTCCATTGCCTGGCAGTTGTGTGGCAAGAATGTTGTCACCAATTAGCCATCAGAGTCATAGAGCTAGTCCTACTAGTCCACGCCAACCATATTCCCAAACTAAACTCGTCCCACTTACCTGCACTTGACCCACATCCCTCCAAACCTTCCTATTTGTGTACTTCTCAAAATGTCTTTTAAATGTTGTAACTATACTTGCATGCACCACTTCCTCTGGCAGTCCATTTCAGATATGAACCAAAAATAAAGAAATCACATAGTGATGGATGAGTCCCATTTCATCTTATTCCACCAACCAAATCACAAATTAACATCAGATTAGTGTGGGCAGTCCATGAAAAGAACTTACTCCAAATGGTTAATAGCAAGGTGAGAATTTTAGTCCATATCAACTGGTCTATGGGAGGAATCCGTACATACATCCTGTGTTGTGTGATGATCTGCTGGCCGGAGATGAAACCATAATTAATTCCACTTTTTTTTTATGCACCTAAATGTCCTACATGCAGGGAGAAGAGCAATTGTCAAGGCAGATGTTTCAGAGAAAATTCAATAAGCAGTATATATTCACATAAAACTATCTGAGATAACCTTCAATTCTGTGTTTTAAATAAACAATAGAAAAGAGTTATGAGTGGAACGGTCTGAGTAAGGTTGAAAGGCATAATGTGAAGACAGTGCTTCTCCAACATGCCGTTCAAACTGCTAAGATACCTTGATCTCAGTTAATCAGGATTAATTATTAATTTCCAGAATCTAAACAATTGGAGGCTCATGAGGCACCCTGTACCTCTCATACTCACATTTGACAATTAAGAGGAACAACTTTGCCTCTTGTCACTTCCAGCAAGTTATGTATATACTGTACATAACTTGCTGGAAATGACAAGAGGCAAAGTTGATATTGATGCAATGACCAGGATAGCATACCCAAAGAACAACAACTACTCAAAGTTGGTACTAAGGTGACATACACATGTACAGAGACGAATGAATGGAAGAATGTGACCATCATTACAGAAAGCAGGAAAAGTTAATAAAAAATTCAAACACTGGCTAAATATCCAAGATGATGTATAAGAGCTGAGAGCAATGGACTGACAGAATGGGGCAAAACATTGGAAAACAAGAAAAGTAGTGAATCCACATAAAACATATGGAAGTCAGTCTGGCACTAGAAAATCACTATATACTGGAGACAGACCCTTTGATTTTTGGAGGCAGAAATCTTTGGGGGCAGTAGCTCAGGGAGATGTAGGGCTTAGTAACTGGGCTAGCCAATACAACAGAACAAGGTCTATGGAACAATCTTGAAGCACAAGTAGAAGTAATTAGATGCCTTGTGTGGTTGCAAGGAAATTAGAAAATTATTTATTAAGCAAGGCAAAATGATAAGAATTAGATAGTTAAATGGGTTCAGTTTCAATTCAAAAGTACTAAATAGGGGAAAGCTAGACTTGTCACATAGATGGATATATGCAAGAAAAATGCCCCCAAATAGAATACAAAGGCTAAAGCCAGACTAGCGGCTATGGATTTTAAAGAAAGAATTGGAGATCAAGCTGTTAAAGTGCACTTCTCCATGACAGGAAAAGTAATCTTAAATGTTCTTAGCTCTGTTGGCTGCACATCATAGGAGTGTAGGTTGATTTTTGCAGGAGCAGGGGCCTGTGGCATTTCTTTCTGCACCAGCTGCTCAGCAGATTGTGTTCCTGGGCCTAATTTTTGTTTTAAGAAAGAAAGAAAGGGGGACCTGTATATAGTTAATTACGTTGCTAAGGTGCACCGGGGTAGGGAATTAATTAAATACGTACCTAGAGAACATACAAAGAGTGACGATTTGGACGTCCTGTGGCACTGTGGGAGCCTCTCTGCTTTTGAGCAGAAATTCCAGGTTTGAGTCCCATTTAAGGACTTGATGGGCAAGGAAGGTGTATTCATAACA